CTCTTCCCTCAGACAACGGCTGTCAAGCATGAGAAACCGCGGGTAAGCGTTGCCTTTGTCAGTTGTGCTCTCGGTGTTGCTCGCCTGCACATTGGTTACTTCTGTTTTGATTTTTATTTATTTGTACCGTTTCATCGCAGTCGATTTTTTTCATCACTGCACAGTTTGCACTAGTACCGTAAGGTACCGTTGATCCGCCGCCCCCCCCCCCCCCCCCACCCACACACCATGTCGCTTTCCAGCTGGGTTTTCGGCAGGGGACGGGAATTAGATCAAGGCTGTCAAGTGCGGTACGATGTACAACAACGTGGAGGATCAGACTCGATGTGCTGGATTGTGCAGATTTTCATCCTGGATTGGCATGTATTGTGTACAGCAGTGCATGCGTCGGTTCGACATCGTATACGCCGAAGTCGCTTCACGGGTAGAAAATCGACAGGGGGCGGGAATTAGAGAGGGGGCGGATCAACGGTACTTTACGGTACTTGTAGATTTATGCAATGTGCATCTGGAGCTCTATTTGAATGCCTACGTGTTGTGCAGTTGTCCTTTCATAGCACAGCACTGTGAGACCAGTAATGTTAACGAACATTAAAATTCTAACGATTTAACAAATTTAAACAATTCGTTAACATTTGAAGTCGTTAAGCACAGAACAATTATATGTACATGAACAGTCATTTATCGGTTTTTGAGACGGAATTCGTTAGAATTTCACCTCGCTAACCCCCAAAAATCCGGAGATCGTTAACGTTATTTTTGACGTTAAAATATCTGGTCTTACAGTATCTGATTTGTAGTGCGTGTTAGCATACACGTAGACCTCCAATGAGGCTCCCGAGAGTGGTGTATTCATTGTATTCCCACAAGAGAGGCTGCGTAGATAGCTGTTCAGTACGGCGTAGAAGTCTGCCCGACGGCACTCCGCTGGAAGGTAATTCCATCTATCAGCGGCCACGTAAGGCAACGCGAAAAGACCGTGTTGTGCAGAATCATTAGGTAGGGTTGAAACGATGGTGGACTGTTCCCTCAATGTACATTCTTTTCTGTGTTACCTCTGCTCTCTTAGAAGCTGACCAAATTTCATACAGGACCACTGCCGTCCATAGCAAAGCAAAATCGCAAGGACGCACAGGTACGGCTTGTGGCACCGTTCTAGCCAGGGTCGCACTGATGTGAAAGCCTGTAGCTAGCTAGCTAGCAGGGTTTCGAAGTCACCTTTTACAATGAGTTCCCGTGGCTAACGGATTCATCGCCTTCTGCATTCTAGCCTCAGTGTTTGGTGTAGGGTACGTGAAAGGGTGCCTAGGTGCACTTAATGAAATGGAGGGTGGGGGGGGGGGGTGGTGCAATCTGAAGGTTCTGCTTGCCACCATCTATGACCAAAGGCAGCACACTAAAACTAGCCCCACAGTATCGGTTGTTTATACGGATTTTCGTCTGTTTCTTTTCTAATGTGAAAGCTGGAGGGGTTTGGTACAGTAAAACCTGGTTTAAGCGACCACCCCACGGTGCAAGCAAAAGCGGTCGTTAAAGCCAGGTGGTCTTTAGAACCAGGTCCCGCAGTATCTGTGTAGACCTGTCGGTGCATGGAAAACGGTCGTTAAGAGCAGGTGGTCGCTAAAACCAGGTTTTGCTGTACTATAAGGGCATGATAAATCTTAATGTGCTCGACATCATATGTGTTTCGGATTGTGTGTGTTTGTGTGTGTGTGTGTGTGTGTGTGTGTGTTTGTGTGTGTTTGTCTAGATTCCCCCGCCACCGATCACCAAGGAAGATGCCAGGCGCGGAGTTCTCAGTCTGCTCGAGCGAGGACTTATTCCGGTGGGTGGTGAATGTATAATACAGCGAATGTGTTGATATAGACATTCAGTGCGGTATCCACTAGCTGGCGTTCTGTGTGCATAGAGATACAGCATTCGATGAGCCCTTGGGATTCGTAATGCACATGGATATTGAAAACACTTGCGATACAGCGTGCATAGTTGGTACAGCAAACACTGGCGATCCTCCGTGGGTAGTTTTGTGTAGCAAACACTTGCGACGCACCATGCCCGGATGGTATAACGAATGTTTGATATACATAACACAGGGAGATATAGTACGTGAAGTCATGCTGCAGACAACATAACATTATGGGACGTATTTGTCAAAAGTGTTGCAAGCCCAGAACATTTGAAACCACATTTGAGCCACAACTAAGGCCTTTGTTTTCAGACCTTTGCTTTGCTATCCGAAATCGCTCGTAGTGTCCAACCGGTTTGGGTCTGATTTCCATCAGTGAAGTATTTTGGGTGATCATCACTTGGTTAACACGTGACACTGTTCATTTTGTAAGAAGCCTCTTGTACAGGAACCGCTGAAAGATAACACAATGGTTGCAATGTTCGCAAATGTAATGAGAACGTTAGTGCATGCGATACACAATACAACCTGAACTGGTCATGCTGAACCACAATATACAGACAACTTCGCGTATAACGACACTCGGCGGGGCATCAGAAAAGTGTCCTGATTCGCGAAGTGTCGTTATACCCGAAGTCCCATTATATGTATAACAGTTGGATGTGGCTTTGCTCTGGGCATGGAAATTCTGTCGTTATTCGCGAATTGTCGTTATATCCGCAGTCGTTATTAGCAAAGTTGACTGTACTGTAAAACCGGGAATTTTCGGAATTACGCTACTACTTTCGGTATTTCCCAAAATCAACGGTTCGGCAGCGCTAACATTTCTAAACCAGTTTTCCAGATCCAAAAATGCGTTTTTCACACTGTGTGGCATGGCATGGTTGAATTTTAAGTCGCATTTTATTTTCGGTAAAAATTGCCTGCACCGAAGTTAAAAAAAGAAAGATGTCCACCGAATTGTTCAAGTTTTACAGACAGCGTTTGCACTATAGAACACAAGAACTGCGCAATAAACACTGTGCAGTTTGTTGTTGTGTTTTGTATTCAGCCTGCAACTCAGATTGACATGGACCCACCACTGTTCCAGCACAAGCAGCTGCAGCTAGCAGCGGCAGAGGAGCGCACGCAGAAAGGCAACGTGATGGACGAACAGCAAGGTTGGTAGCGCTTTGTTCTCCTCCATCTTAGCTGATTGGTTGGATGGACTGTTAAGCACCACAGAAGTGCCAGCCCGTCTTCGGCATCTCACCTTAATTAAATTTGGAAGCCAACCATCCCGATTCGGCCGGTACCGTTCCGATATCGATGGTGGCAATAGGCATCCAAAAGCGCATTTGTCACATACCTCATAGCTACAATTGTAAACATTTTCATACCTAGGTATGTCATTGCCCCGATCTCAGGTTTGCAATGGTTGGCGGGCATGATCCTGGGGAAGCAAATAGTATGGCTGCGTGCAACCATACAATCTCAAGCGGTTCTGTAGTATTTTCCTTTTGGTGTTTGTCTGTCCATGCTCAGCCAGCGCTGGTGGAACGTTTGTAACCGGCGTAAAGGTAGGCAAACACTGCTAGTTTGTATTTGTATTTGTATTTTATGGATTCTCCACAGGCCTTAGCCTAAATCGAGGGAGTCTCCGTCAACAGTTTGTCTGAGTTATCTGCTGCCTAAATGAGGAGAGAATGTTGAACGGGCGCTGCTTGTATGACGGCTACACCATAGCTTAGTGGGTAGAGCATCGCTGGCCTCAAGCGAATGTCCTTGGTTCGAGTCTTGGTTATGGCAGTCCATTTTTCTTCTTCAAACTTTTCCTGTTTGCAACTTTACCTCAAACTAGGGAGTGCCTAATTCAGTAGCAATAATGCTGTTCATTTTCTTTACGCGTTCAAAGGTGAATCCCTAGATCCCAATGGATGTGTTTTTTCTTCCAACCTCTTTCAGATGAAGCGCAATGTGACATTCCCCACGGAGCCGATCTTCGACTCTGTGGATGATGGCCATTATCCGCTAGCTGGGGACACTGCGGAACATCTGGTGGAGCAACGGGTGGAAGATATGCAGCTGGTTCCGGTTGAAGATAAGGTATGGGGGCGTAAATACATACTAAATTACATCTCCATCCCCTCCCCCCCCCCCACTGCAGATACACACACATTATGTTGCATCATCCTGGGCTACAGTGTCAACACATATGCATAAGCATTCGTTTGAATGCACGTACACACATGTACACACATAGGCATGTACATATACGCATGTACACACACACGAACGCACACACACACACACATGCCCTCCTCCCCCCACACACATAATACACACACACACACACACACACACACACACACACACACACACACACACACACACACACACACACACACACACACACACACACACACACGCGCGCGTGCGCGCACACACACACACACACGCACATACACACACACACACATACACACACATACACACACACGTACGCACACACACGTACGCACACACACACACACACACACACACAGGCTAATAGACTAAGATAATTATGACTGTTACAATATCACTAGAACACCGGGATTTCCCCAACTCTAACTCCATGGTGTGGCAGTATTGTTTCATCCGTATCTCTGCTCCTGCTGCCCAATGCTAGACCGTTGCAATACCGACACTAAAATCCGAGTCGACATCGCACACACGTCCTGTTCGTCAGTCTCATGCCGCGGCAGCGGGTCAAGGCAGAGAACGTCTACCCATGGCGACACAGCAGATCAGTCTGCAGCCGGTGGATCAACTGGACGACGCACGGGACGACCAAGTGAGTCTTTCGGGCCCATAGAGCATGGATACGTTGCTTGATACTCAGCTCTACGACATTAGGTTATTGTTATGGAAAGGCTGTACTCAAGTACTGATTTCCAAATTCTCATACATCGTCACAACAGTGTTTTAAGATGGTCCCTGGGTTACACGTGTTAGACTAACCTTTTGAGCACACGTCATGACCACTGCCACTGTGACACGCGTGACGCGACGTTCTAGAACGTCACGAGTCAGTACGGAACTACATCGATTCGGCGTTTCTTCCGTGGCGTGGCATCGAGCTGTACCGCTGCACAGAGGACTCCTAGGATGTACGAGTACAATAAAAAAAATGCGAGTCGCTCCGTAAGTTTGAACTGGAGTTACATGCGCGTGCATACATTTCAAAATACCAATTTCGCGTAAAACTACCTTTCTGAAAACGGTCATAACTTTTGTAATCTTTGTTGTATTTCCAAAAAAAAACAGTTCTGTGCTCAGGATACATGAAAGAATCGTTTGAAATCAAGTTTGCTCACATAGAGTGAATTAAAATTTTTTTACTGCGTGGCAGAGGTTTTCAATGGGCCCGGGCTCAAAAGGTTAAAAAAAAGTTGTATTATAATACGATTATTCGGGCCAGGCCCCTTAACCTCAGGAATTCTGTTCAATCAAGGTGACCGCTCAGATAAGGCGACCACCTGTCCCTGAAAAGTGAAGACCACTGAAACCAGGACCAAGGGATGCTATTTCCAGTCAAATGACCCTGGATAAGGAGACCACCTGGTAACAGAGACCACACTTTTGAAGGTCCCTTGAGCGGTCGTCCTAGACATGTATCACTGCAGTGTACACTTCTAATCCCCCTCCCCCCCTGTCCTCCACCATCCTCTCACTGTCAGGGGTCGATCCAGGGGGGGGGGGGGGGGGGGGTTCCGGGGTTCCACGGAACCCCCTTAAAGTTCCAAATCACACTCCATCATTCACCCCAGTGTCTGGAGATATGTGGATTTTGTACTTCCTCCGTATACAAAAACTTCGTGACTTTTTTTGAAGGCTGCGCATAGCTCTGGAATTGTTCCGTTTGACTTGGAATAACACTCGTGGCATTGTCTAACCTGTTTACAGACTATATACAAAGAAAAAAACAACTCAGACGAATGAGATTGAGTTTATTCAGAGTCTTCGTGGCTCCTGTCATTGTCACCTGACGACGCTGACTCCGCATCGCCAAAAGTCGCTGCTTCGCTCGCATTTCGCTCAGATTCTTTTCAGCTGCAATGATGATCCGCCGCGGGACTTTGGCTAGCGTACTCTTCATTTCCAGAGCTGTGTACGAATCGGTGTCGACTATATTCAGTCGTTCCAACCCGCGACCTCCATTATGCCGTGAAACGAGTCGCCCAAGCACATCCACACGCTTCGCATTTTCTCGGCAGGAGAATCCTCCCAGCATTCTACAACGGCTTCGACGAGGTCCCTCCTAGGCCACAACGGAGACGTCTGACTGGAGTGGAGAGAGGCGAAGAAAGCCAGGTCGTCGACATCCCGATCCGGAGTCTGCGCTGGTTGCACGACGACTGAAATGTTTCATCTTTCCGTGCGAGTGGAACCGATTTATGTTCTCACGCTGCGTATGGGGCCGCGCACCGCAAGTAGACCCAGGTGCTCGAAGTCCGTACACGTTTACAGTGTGTGTTTGCCGAGCTGAAACTCACACTAGAAATGATCAATTGCCAGAATCCTGCTCGTGGGTGGAAGGTATCTTGTCCAAGTTTGTTTTGAGGCCAGGCTCGATTGAACCAGGCCATCTTTCGATCCGATCTGTTTCTCTGGAGTTCGCTCATTTTTCATATCAAAATTTGGTGTCGCAGAGGGTACTCTAAGTCCGTACTGATCAGAGGTGACTCGAAATACACACATATTTCTGCTAATTGCTAACTTGCAATCCCTCGGTTACGACGAAAGCACCGAAGGGATATGTTTGGCATGTGCCTCCACCGGTATTTCTTGCAAAAGCGTAGTTTGTTGCCGAAATGCAAGCTGTTTTTAGTCGGCTCAGAGAAGAAGCAGCTGCGCTGTGAAAACCGCGGGAAAACAGTGGTGGAGATGCCAGGAGTGTCAACCTTTCTGCAAGGATTGGTGGTTCTCTGTAAATTCTTCTCTTCTGGCCATTGTCAGCTCTAAGCTGGCTCTTGATGATTGAGTGAAGGTCTGTTTGACGCTGTGTCCGTTCGAAATCGGTCTTGGCAAAGTTGATTTTTGCATGAAATGTAACCCAATTTGTATTTCGTATGGACACTCGAAAACCCACTCCCGTGGTATGGGACTTCTGCTGATCGTAGATCCCTGAAAATTGGTACGCGAGGAGAACATACCACACTGTCCCCTCCATAAAATATTTGAGTCGAATACAATAACAGAACATGAAATTATGGGCGTACGAACTTAGGATACCATGTACGGACTTCGAGCACCTGGGTCTACGAGCCTGGCCAGTTTCAGGGCAGCGAGTGCCGCGTGAGTCGTCACTCCGTACCCCCGTGCTCCAGGCGTGAGCTCCACTTCGTCACGGTGTCAGTTTCGAGCAAGTAAGTGTTAGTTTTTCTGTTATTTGACTCGTGAGTTCCTGTCGGCAGCGTCCTCACACGCATGGCTTCCGTGGAGAATCTGTTTGAGATCGACCAAACCTACCTCAACATGAATGTGCGTTGTCGATGACAGCCTTTGGCCCGGTTCGTTGAGCAGGTTCTAGCTCAAAAACACCGTTGAAAAAAAGTCACGAAGTTTTTGTATACGGAGGAAGTAGAAAAAAGAAAAAAAAATGTACCACTGGAGACCATGTACTGTACATGTACATGTAAAAGAGAGAGGTTCCAGGCTGTCCAAGAGAGGTTCCAGGCTGTCCAAGAGAGGTTCCAGGCTGTCCAAGAGAGGTTCCAGGCTGTCCAAGAGAGGTTCCAGGCTGTCCAAGAGAGGTTCCAGGCTGTCCAAGAGAGGTTCCAGGCTGTCCAAGAGAGGTTCCAGGCTGTCCAAGAGAGGTTCCAGGCTCTCCAAGAGAGGTTCCAGGCTGTCCAAGAGAGGTTCCAGGCTGTCCAAGAGAGGTTCCAGGCTGTCCAAGAGAGTGCTCAATACCGAGAGGCAGAGCTAGTTCAAACAATAAGAGGACGGAAAAAGTGTTTTAACTCTGAGTTTCACGCACTAAGCGATCATCAGAAAACAGTAAAATATTGTTTGTGTTTTTGCATGTACATCTATGATGTTTGTGCTCATGTAGCACTAGTGTTGCTCTGCATGCATGAGCACAAACCTAACCTTAACCTTGTTCCTTGTGCGTTGTTGTTCTGTGATCGCAAACGCAGATAGCAGCGCTGGCTGGAAATCTTCAGGATGCTCTGCGCCGGGTGCGCAAGTTCACCATCCAACATGGCGTCACTGTCAAGACATCACAGGTACGTGATTAGCCTGCCCAGCCCTCAAGGCAACTCGTGCAGTCGACTTTGTGGGTTGTGGCATGTGTGTCCACGTTTGTGTGTGTGTGCGTATGTGTGTGTGCGTATGTGTGTGTGTGTGTGTGTGTGTGTGTGTGTGTGTGTGTGTGTGTGTGCGTGTGTGTGCGTGTGCGTGTATGTGTGTGTGTGTGTGTGAATGTGTGTGTGTGTGTGTGTGTGTGCATGTGTGCGTGTGTGTGTGCTGTGTGGTGTAGACCAAGCTGAACAGTGGCGGTCAATTCTTCAGCCTTGCTAGCTGTTGAATGGTGCAATCCCAGCACAAGCTGCTATGGCTTCTGCTGTAGCATCGCTATCATCGCCTCCGGCGGTGGGCGTCCAATGGTCCAATGGTGTGTGCGTGTGTGTGTATTTGTGTACGTGCGTGCATTGTTGTACCCGTGTGATGTATATGGGGTTGAACCGAGGGGTGGCGAATGCATGAACAGATGAATGCCTGGGACTACATGTGTAGCGTTGGTCACGCGTTGGTCACGCTACAAGCTCAGCATTTGCGTTTACGCTCAGCGTACTGTGAAAATACGACGTTCGCTACAAGCTCAGCATTTGCGTATACGCTCAACGTACTGTTCATTACGACGTTCGTTCTACCATACAACGGTCGCATGATAGTACGTTTCTGGTTGTGATTATTTTCCATAAATTGTGTTTATCTTATCTTTCACAATGAGTTCAGAGTTTTACTGCTAAAGACAGTTTTGCCGTTCTAGAGAGACAGAGAATTGTTAATAAAGTAACACGTTAGTTAGTTTCGAGTTGTTAGGTTGTTTTGCCTCCAGGCCCGCTACACTAGTACATTGGTTAGGTACGCATTTGGAGAAATGCATTTCACTTGAGGACCATCAAAGTGAATATCTTCACTATCTTGTCCCGTACCGGGGACTGACTACCTATAATCGTTCGCCACATTCGATTGCCTATGGCATTCAGCAAGTTCAAGTGCCTATGACATCATTCATCATGTTCGCTGTTCCCCTAACACTCAAGCCCATGCTTTGAGCTATCTTTCTCAACTTATATTTCCGTAGCCCCCACCCTCACTGCAGATACAAGGGATCATCGTGAACTTTCACCAATGAGGGGCTGCTCTGCACAGATTTTTAACTTCAAACTTTTGTACTCCAGTATTTGCTCTCTGAGCTGGATCTCTGTTCTCTGCGCTTTGATCTACAGGAATTCCTAGAGTTTCGTGAGATGTATCTCAGTCGGTGGGGAAGGTAGGTGGATTTTTCCCCTCTCATGCATGTTGATGGGCCAGTGTGGTCTGTGCATCCGGGAGTGGTGGGTGCTGGTATGAGCAGTGCCTCCATTAGCGCTGCGGTGCACTGATGACTCAAGATCAAATGCTACTTAGTCACACATGCATAATATGCATTGAAAACTGTTGCCGTGTGCATGTACTGTCAGAAGTATCTGTGAGTCTCGCAAACATGGTCAACACACAGCTCTCTACTGTCGTTTAAAGTTGCAGCGCGCTGCTTTTTGTGATGAGGCTATATTGCCTCTTTTGGGAGGATGTTTCATGCTGGTTTTGATGTGAATGAAGCTATGAACAGGATCAAGTGTTTACGTCCATGTTTCTGTGGCTGTGCTGGAACTGCTCTATTTCGCCTTCAAGTCAAGCGCTTTGCAACACATTCTTGCCTGCTTTTAGCTTTACGCCCATGTTTCTGTAGCTGTGCTGGAACTGCTCTATTTCGCCGCCACTATTTACCATTAGCCATGTCTCCCCCCCCCCCCCCTCCTCCTCCACCCTACATAGTGGGTCCATTTTTATTTGGCATCT